TGAAACTGAAAACTTGAGAGGAAATGGACCTCCCTAGTAAATATAAAAAATTAGGCTTCTGATTTCATTAATCTTTTTTGAATTTAATTTTGGGTAAATTCAGCAAAACTATACAAAATATACAGAAAACCCATCACATTCAGATAGATCAGCTGAACATTTCTAGATATTTCCTTATTCTAATTAGTCCTGTGATTAACCTTTATCTCTGGGAGGAAAGTAAATCTCCTGAGACGTGAACCCGGCGATGTAAGGTATGAACATGCGCACAGTGACATTAACTCTGCAAGGCACAGCAGGAAAGTTAGCCTCATCGCTGATTTAGCCTCATGGCCAAATAATTGTAAAATGACACCCCCTCCTTCATTTTTAATCCCTTCTTCCTTTCCCCATTTTCCTCCCCAACACACACATATATGATGTCTTATGCATACCTGCTTGGCAAATTTTGCCTTACTCTTGATGTCTCAGCTCCTGTTATCTCCTCAGAGATGTCTTTACACCCACCACCACCACCACCCTTCCCTCCCTCTTCTCACCAACAAAGATGGGCACCCCTTTCTCTATATTTCCTTTCATGCCTCTTGTACTGTGTTTCATCAACTCTAAGATGCCACTTACCGAAAGATCCATTATTATTTCATGCACGGCCAATGACGTATGATACCCTGTCTAGGTAAGCTAGATCCCAATCTCACAAATGTAAAAATGTGAAAGAATGTTGACATGAGAATCAATGAAGCAGGGTATACTGTCCTTGTCATACTAGACTGCAGTGGCATATTTCTCTTCCCCCATGAGGTGGCCGTCTTAGCAGGTTCCTACCATGCACTGGATGTTCTGTCCATGTTCACACTTGTGTCCGATCATAGTGTGGAGCACACACCATGTTTGCCAATATTTAACTCCATGTCTTAACCCAGAGAAATGCATAAGAGTGATGATAAGAGGGTATGATTCTAACATTAATTGGGATTGTGATTTTACTAAAACCTTACCTTTCTCTTTGCTGCAATTTCATTTTCTTTGAAAAGAAAGAGATCTTTGAAAAAGATCTTATAAGGTCTGTCCTTTTTGATTGAGCCATCCTCTACTTTATCTGTTAAAAAAGAAGAAAAGAAAGAAAAACTTCTGTCATCCCTCCTCTGTTGACCAGAATGGTAAAGCTCCCACCAGCCAGGGTAGGGGGAGTGGGATACAGGGGTCTCTGAGAAGGTAGGATGCAGACAGCCTTGCCTCCTCAGCTAGAGGTGGAGACGCATTGCTTGGATCTCCTGGGCATGAGGCTAAGCTCCTTTGTTTGTTTCCCATGGCACTGAGAACAATGCTTAGTGCTTTATGGGGGATGAGTCAGTGAAACAAACAGGTCTTTAGTAGAATAGTGGGATCATATTTTGAACTATTGAGATGCTGTTTCTTCCTGCTACTATACATATACCACCATTACCTTCACACCACCATTTCAGCAGCAATCGACAGAGCCACTACCCTTAGGGAGAGCCTCAGTCTAGACTAGGGAGTCTTAAAAAAAGAAAGTCAAAGAGAATAACAAGCCCCGGAGAGGTTGTGAAGAAATTGGACCCTCATACCCTTCTGGCAGGCATGTAAGTAGTGCAGCCACTTTGGACAACAGTCTGGCAGTTCCTTAAAAAGTTGAACATAGAGTTGCCATATGACTCAGCAATTCTGCTGCTAAGATATACCCAAGAGAAATGAAAACATATGTTTATGTAAAAATCTGTACATAAATGTTTAGAGCAGTATTACTCATAATGGCCAGAAGATAAAAACCAACCTAAATATCCATCAATAAATAATTTTAAAAATGTAATATATCCATACAATGGAATATTATTCAGCCATGAAA